CCAGTCTAAACCAGCCTCCAACAGCTGCTATGGATTCCCAGACTTGGGCTCCTGGGCTGACCTCCACCAGCTGGAGCAGGAACATCACTTAACAACAGGATATGTTCTGAAAACCCATCATTAGGCAGTTTCATTGTGTGAACATCATAGAGTGCATTTACACAAACCTAGATGGTATAGCCTACTGCACACCTAAGCTATATGGTATAGTCTGTTGCTCCTAGGCTGCAAACCTGCACAGCATGTTACTGCAGGCAGTTGTAATACAATGGTAAGTATTTGTGTATCTAAACATTGAAAAGGTAGAGTACATATTTTTCAGCTCCATTATAATCCCATGGGTCCACCATCATATGAGGGGTCCATCACTGACAGAAACATCATCGTGCAGGGCATGATTGTAGTAGTTTTCTTCTCCCTCTGTTTTCTGAAACCCTCCCTTAACTCACCAGAGGGTGAGGCCCCTACAACCTCCTCAAGTGTTGATGTACCAGGTTTCATGGTAAATTGTGTTTTGTGGAGGTTACCAGGAATAGGCTTTGAAAATCAGAGGGAATTTGAGCCCCCATGGGCCCTCGAATAAGTCTCTGAGCCTCAATTGCCTCATCTTTGAAAGGAGGATAATAACACCCAGGGTCATTGTGATAATTATATGAGATATTGCACTTAAAGGGTCCATCCCTGCCTGGTGCAGAGTAAGTGCTCAAAAAACTGTTAGCCAATCTTTTCATCACCATCATCATTGTTATTTTACATTGTTAGCTTACAAAAGGCAGGGTAATCTTTTGTAGACTTTTTCCTCTCTTTGTTGCCTGGCACACAGTAGGGGCCCAGCAAATGTCTGTTGAATGAATGAGCGAATCCACCCAGGAAACTGGTGACAATCAATTTCATATTGCCCTGACGAATAGCTGCTAACACTTATTGAACACTTGTTCCAGAAACTGTATTAAGTCCCATTACCTCGGTTAACATTCAAGTTTGATGACCTCGTCTAGCCTTCTGATTTGACTCCTGAAGCATTGATGTCACTGATTCACAGTCCTGAAGCTGACAGTGACGTCTGCAAATTTCTGTATTATTTCCTTTTGTCATGAGACCAACAGCAGCATCATTTCTGTAACGTAGTCTCTGCGAAAATAGGAGTCTGGTGTCATGCTGACGTGAGGCCCTGTGTTCTCATCTCCCCAAAGATGAGCTGGCTTCCCTGATGCAATTTCCTCATCTTTTAGTAAATTGCTTGACATTACATTTCTGAGACAGCAGGGCTCAATGAGAGTTTATCGTTGCAGCCCTACAGCTTGCAAAGGCCCAGTTAATAGGGTGATAATGTCACACAGCATTGAGTCTTCCCTCTACTTCTCTGGGGCCACTTTGAGAGCAGTGCAGCATCTCCAAGGGAAGGATGGATGGGGGAAGTTCTTTCAGCTTCTTCTGACGTCCTCACTATAGTTGACTTTTGGATTAGAGAAGCCTTTAGAAATCATCTAATTCAATTCTTTTGATACTGTCCTGTGGGTTTTTTAGGCTTCCAAAGACCCCTTTCCATAACAGTTGCTGCTTTAGGAGAAGAAGAACTAACTACCTGAACAGGCAGAGCTTGAGCATCCTACCTCGGGCTCAATCATAGTGAGTTCTGTGACATCTTTGGAACACTGAAGAACAAGTTTATTTTATTCTTCAATAGAAGCTGACAGCAATTCAGCATACAGAGGCTTCAAGTGAGATATTTGTGCATTTATTTGTTCACTCAGCACATTTCCAGACACTATGCTGTGGTGCTGGGGATACAGCAATGAACAAAAGGAAGCTCCTGCCATCAAGTAGCTTATGTTCTAGTAGGAGGAGACAAACAATAAAATGTCTCCGATTTAGTGCCTCTCCAAAGAGATGACATGTGAACAGAGACTGGAAGTGAAGGTTGATAAAAGGTGGAAGAACGTTCCAAGCAGAGGGAATAGCTGTGCAGTCTCTGAAGTGAGAAGCCAGAGTAGCTAGAGAGTTAGGAACCAGTGTGGAGAGAAGAGAGGAGAGAAGAGTCAGTGTGGAGAGAAGAGAGGTGTAGGGTCTAGATTACTAGGACCTTAGAGACCACGGGAAGGACTTCAGATTCTTATTCTGAGGGACACTGGAGGAGTGAGAGCAGATTGGGGGACCATTCTGGCTACTAGGTAGAGAACAGATTTTTCGGAGCAAGAGTGGAAGCTGGAAGCAGAGACCAGTAAGGAGGCTCTTAAAAAGAATCCAGGCAACAAAGAGAGGGGAAAGATTACAAAAGATCATCCTGCCTTTTGTAAGCTAACAATGTAGGCATCTGCGAGAACACGATTCCTGCTACTGTGTGTCTGCTGGTTCCGACTGTATATAATTTGTGGTTTTCATATAATTAAAGTGTTATCTTGATGGATTTGACTACTTCCCCTTGGAGAGGGGCTTGTCACTTTTGCATTCCTGTCACCACAGTTTTGCCAGTACCTGATGTGTGTTCCCCAGACCAAAAATTGAAACAGCTTCGGAGGATCTAAAGCTTAAACTGGGTCTTTTGGATCTTGACCTCCAGGGAGATGAGATGTTCTCATCTGGGCATGAAATAAGTTAGGGGCCTTACAGGAGCTAGAGAGGAGTCGAGGGAGAAGAGACCAAGATGTGGCCTGGAAAACTGATGCCAGCTTGTTGGCTGAGGGCCAGAGGTCTGTCCTTGGAAACTTAACTGTTCCATTAGTTAGGAGCATGTACAAGAATACCACCTAAAGTGTCTTTTCAAAAAGCAGGGGTTGTTTTTGACAAGAGTTTTGAATTGGATAGTTGCTGGCATCAGTTCAGCTGCTAAATACTGCTCTCAAGTATCAGGCTTTTTATTCTTTCTCTCCCCTCTTCCTTGGTTGGCTTTTGTTTTCATGGCCGCAAATCATCTGCCCTCGCTCCTGGCATTAAACCTTCATTCAAGGCAGGAATGAGAGGAAAAGGAAGAAAAGGGACGGTGCCAACTAGATCTGTCTCTTTTTATCAAGAAAGCAAAAACTTTCTCAGAACCCCGTCCTCCTCCTCACCCCAGCAGCCTTCCACTTGGCCAGAATTTCTCTAGCTGAAAGAGAGAATAGAAAATGAGTGTTTATCTTTGCAACCTTTCTTGTAAATACAGACGAGGGAGAAAGGGTTAGAGCATCACTGTCTATTGGAACTATAATGCAAGCCGTGTATGTAC